CCTTGTGGTCCGCAGACCAGTGATGATTCTACAATGCCACACCAAAAGTATGACAGACCAAAACTGCCCGTAGGCTGTAATCTTTATGGGAGCAGAGCACCACGTCTGTTCTCCGATGGAACCATTTTTGTTGTTGTTAAGTACCGCGGAGTCAGTTCAGACTCATAGTGACCCTGCACCAGAGTTTCTGAGGCTGTAAATCTTTACAGGAGCAGAACGCCTCATCTTTCTCCCGTGGAACCACTGGTAGTTTCGAACTGCTGATCTTGCGGTTGGCAGCCGGACTCGGCTACCAGAGCCATTAGGTGATTTCAAAGCATTGATCTTTTAGTTAGCAGCTGAGTACTTTAACCATTACACCGCCAGGATTGCTCCCTGACTGAGTATAGCAGAAAACCAAATTCACTGAATAGGATTTCTGAGGTTATAAATCTTTACAAGTGCAGCCAGCCTCATCTTTCTCCCTTATGGGAATAGCTAGTGGGTTTGAAGTACTGACCTTGTAGTTAGGAGTCGGGTATTTATCCTACAAAATTCATAGGTGTTGTTTAGCTAAACACAGATGCTTCAGGAGCTCTTTGGCTAGTGTCCCCCTCCTCCTCAGCATTTATCTCTAAGTAGAGATCAGATGCCTGATGGGCGTACATGTATCATATATGTGCGCTTCTGGTCCTTTTGTTTACTGTTAATCAAGTTCCAGTAAGTGAGCATCCCTGTTTTCCTTTATTGCTGCTAAGCATAGATAGATATCTCTCTGTGTGGTGTTTCTGTCTCTCTCATCCTTCAACACAGATCACCTGTCCATTCCAAAAGAAAAACTTCTAGCAAGTGCCAAGAGAGGAGATCTGAGGGAACAGAGGAGGTTTCCTGTTGTTGAATAGCAGCTGAATGTCTGTTCCATCCAGCTATCATTGTTGTTTTCCCTTAAGATCACAACACTTTTTAAATGATCCCAGTTACTTGTCTTTTTGAGTATCAACTTTTACCACTCATTTTTTTTTCATTTAAGAAAATGTGATTTTTCTAAATAGAATCCATGAGATAGATCTAAGAACTAATGCTCTTTCCATGATAATGGATAAGATTGGTTGAACATTAACTGTGCCAGACATTGGGTAATAGTTTCCACACCCATTATTTCACTTACTCCTTCCACCACCCTATGAAGGAGATGCCAACACATGAAGAAACTGAAGAAGCCTTAAGACCTTGTTCAAAGTCACAAATCTACAGTGGGACTCTAGGTCACTCCCTGGATATCTATCTAAGTTTCTCACTAAAGTTCCTGAGTTTGACAATCCAGAAAACTTTCTAAGAACTCAAGTAGAGCTACATTTGCACTCTGTAAAGCCTCTGTCTTCACTAGTGGCAGCCCCTGGTAGCCAAGAAGCCAAAACTCATGTATGACACTGTATCATACGGGGTAGGAACAGGTCTGGATATGATACAGTTCCGATTTCATCAAGTCCCAGCTCACCCACTTATTGGATGTGTGAGACCACAGGAAAGTTATCTACCCTCTCAGAGGTTTATTTCCCACGCCTAGAGATAAGGAGCTCTGGTAGTGTAGTGGTTAGGAATCCAGGCTGCTAATCACACAGTGAAACGATCCCCTGTTTGAGATAGGGGGAGTGAGGGAGGCTTTCTGCTCCTGTAAAGATTTACACCCTTGGAAACCTTATGTAGGATCACTATGAGCTGCAACCGACTCCACAGCACATAACCACAACATATATGGGGATAATAGCATAAGTTGAATGTGAAACTGCCAACTTTCAACCATTTTTTACTTCCAAATAGCTTTTCAAATGCTTCAGGCTAAAATCTTTGCTGGGTCATTTCAATTAAAAAAAAAAAAAAAGTTCACACAGGAAATAATAAATGGCATTTTTTTAGAAGTCTTTCTCTTCCTGATATCCTTTTGCTTAGGTCAATAAAGTCAGTTTGCATTCTCTGAACACACTGTATACACAGAAGCCATCCTGAGGTTATGCAAATGCTGATAACATTGGGAGACAATAAAACTGCATGATTAATCAAGAGTTAACAACAAAAGCTCTCCTGAGCCCCTATTGCTCGGTGCATCCCCTCTGCTCAGTTTAATCTCTTATTAAGATTAATAAATAAATTAGCAAAAATTTAAAAATGTTTAGGAAAATGGGGGTAGGGGCTAGTGAGGAAATTAGCACTCTGTGCTTAACTCCATCAGACAAAGGAAATGGTTAAAAAATCAATTCCTGCCCCTTGAGTTGGCCATGCTAAGTGGCATGGTTCCTTGCCTGGCAGGACAGGTCTAGCTTTTCAGGCTCAGGCTCCAAGGAACCCAGCCCTAAGAACCAGATCAACCACTGCTTCCCCAACCCGCCCAGCCTGTGCCCAGGTGAGTAATAATAGCAGCCAGAGCTGGCATTCCTGCTGTGTTGTTTGCTTCTTCACTATGTGATTGTCCCTTCACAAGCAATAGTTTATTTACTCCCCACTAAGGAGCTCTGGTAGCGTAGTGGTTACGAATAGGGCTGCAAACCTTAAGGCCAGCAGTTCGAAACTACCAGCCGCTCCGCGGGAGAAAGATGAGG